GATAGCAGCTGAAACAAAAGGGGTGACTTGGGAGTAAGGCTGGGAGGAGATTGCCCCTCCCATAAGGGATAAAAGTCAGACCTCAATGACGAAGAGCTTTGCAGGAAGCAAAGTAGTTTGATAGATTCCGAGTCCTCCTTGAAGCTCTGTGTACTCTGGTCGATTTTTTTCTGGTACTTTGGTTGGTTTCTGTTATAATTAATTGGATACTTCTGTTTTGGGCAGCATTCCACAACACTGAAAGGCGTGTGCTTATCTTGGGGAACTGTTTAAGATTAGTTCTGGCTGGGAATGAAAGCAATTCCCAGCGTTGCAATAAAATAAGTTTTGCTTTTAAAACAAGTTTGATATTAATTATGTTTGACAAAGCTTGGGTCAGAACACTTATTTGGGACAGGAGCTTCCGGTGCTAAGTGAGGCAGTTAAGTGAGGTGTGCCTGTGTTTACCCCATTTTTTTGGCCACAGCTGATAAGCGAAGTATCACGGTTGTTAAGTGAAGCATGCAGTCATTAAGCGAATCGGGCTTCCCTGATCGACTTTCCTTATCGGAATCCAGCTGAGAAGCTCACAAACGGGGATCATGTCACCCTTAGGATGCTGCAGCTATCCTACATCCAAGCACAGTTATCAAAGGCCTGAATTTTGAGCGCAGGAGTGCTGTGACAATTTGTAAGGGCTGATTGTAAGTCATCTTTTTCAGTGCCGTCCGTTGTAACTTCGAACCTGTTGTAAGGAGAGGATTATCTGTAACTTTTGAAAGTCCCCCCCCGCCCCCCACTCCCCAGGCAGCATCATATTCTCCGACTGAAGCTATGGAAAACCCATGGTTAGGTAGTTACGTATCAATAAATGAGAATAATTTGCCCACGTTTGCAGCACCATCTCCTTCCTCCTCCTCTTCTCCTCCCCCCCTCCTCCTTTACGTCTTCTCCTTCTCCTCTTCTCCCTCTTCTTCTCCTCCCCCTTCTTCCTCTCTCCTCCTCCTCCTCCCCTCCCTTCTCCTCTTCCCCCCCTCCCCCCCCCTCCTCCTCCTCCTCCTCTCCTCCTCCTCCTCCTCCTCCTCCTCCTCCTCCTCCTCCTTCTCCTGCCATTTCCGTCATCGGATGTCATCAACCACATTGACGATTCTTCGTTTATCAACAGCCGCACGAAAAAAAGGGGCTTCTGAGTTTTGTCCAAACCGGTCCCTTATCATTTTGAAGTCACCATGTCCCTTCTTCAGCCTGGACCACTTTTTCCACGGGCGAGCAAATTATCTTAAACCTCCGTCTTCCCCTCTCCAGTGACCTCCTGCCGAAAAGTTACCGGGAAAGGGGGACGCACGGAGTCACTGAATGACAGTTGCAAACTTTTGCAGGTGGAGGCCTCCTTCCAGTTTTGTCAAAATCCTACACACCCGCACATTACCCACCCAAAAGACTTAGAGCAGCCAAGATCTTCCCCTTTCCCCTTTTAGGTCACCCAGCCCAAAAGTGCCTGTTGATTTCCCTTTAATTTAACAGCTCTGGCTCCTTTTGCAGTTAAATGGAGTGTTCATTATTGAGGGGGGCCCCCCCTGGTCCTTCCCTCCCTCCTACCCCCCCCGCCCCCCCCTGTCCTTTCTTATCTTCCTCCTCCTCCTCCTCCTCCTCCTCCCCGGCTTTCTGAAGGTCTGTGTGGTGCAGTTTAATGAATATTTGGCACAAAGCTCCCTTTCACGCAAGGCGAAGAATAGCCTGGCCTGTTTAGATCCTGGAAGGCTGTATGTCAAAGGCTTTCCATAATGCTTGTCAGGCAAGGACAGAAATTCCCACTGCTGACTTACTCGATTGACGAGCAGATTAAGACGCAAGCAGGAAATGAGATTGCATGTGGGGGGGTGGGGGGGGGTGGGGAAATGGGACACCTGTTTGGCCGCTCTCATTTTTCCCATCGCTGGAGGGAGAAAGGCAGAAAAAAAAAGGGGGGGGGAGTTGTTTCCACTTTGATCAAATTAAGGAGAGAGAGAGAGAGAGAGAGAGAGAGACTGGGGGAAAGGAAAAAAAAAGAGAGAGAGAGAGAATACTCTCACTTTGGCCATGCTCCATCCGTCTTCGTCCAGTGGTCTCTCTCTCTCCCCCCCCCCCCCGTCCATCTTGTTAACTGGGGTGGGAATGGGGGTGGGGGAAACTGTTTGCAATTCAGGATGGTTCTCATGCAGCCAGAATGAACAAGGCAGCAGCCCAAGCAAAGCAATAGGTACCGTAGGTAGGTACCGGTAGGTAGATTTCCATATGGAGAGAGAGAGAGTTGAATAGGTAGGTAGGTAGGCAGAGATAGATAGATAGACAGCAGACAGATAAGGACAGGTAGATTTCTATATTTGTAGATAGATAGATAGATAGATAGATAGATAGATAGATAGATAGATAG